ATTTCTTTTGTTGGGAACATTCAATATCCTCCTTCTAGTTATTTGAAACTATATATTATTGTTAACTATAGTCATACTACAGTGCTATAGAACACTATAACTTATTTCTCCTATCTAGCTGTAATTTTGTGTCCTCATCTCTCCCTATCCCTCTTCTTACCCCTCCCCTTCCCACCCTCCAGTATCCACTATTCTTTCTACTTCTATGAGATCAAGAATAAGAGAGAGTGTGAGTATGTGTGTGTGCATACTTTATTTTTTGAGATGAGGTCTCACTATGTTGCCCACACTGGTAGCTGGGATAACAGGCATGCATCACTGTACCCAAGAGTATATTCTTAATTCACCTTCATCTAAGTTTGCCTTCTGTTTCAGTTTGGGTTGACCAATAACTGCTTCAGATACTAGAATAACTGCTCATAACACTAGAAAGATATAATAAAATTTATACCAAGGGTTTGGCTAAAATAGACTCCTCTGCCTTCTATATTAAATGTAAACTTCTGCAATCATTGAAAGGCCTCAAATCCTAGCTCTCCTTATTGGCTTAATTTTTCTCATTCTAAAAAATGAAGGTATTAGTACCTACCTCATAGGGTTATTTTAAGGGTTAAATAAATTACTGTCTAAAAAGATGTTAGCTATCTTAACGATGATTTAAGTGCAAGGCAAATATAAAAAGGGCTACCACTTCTTTAGAGTCATGACCCAAGGGTGTTGGAACCACCAATGATTTTATCAAATAATCTTCCTCCATACTGACCTGTCATTCCTCACAGCATGAGTATGCATGCTGTTCAATACCCTTTATAATCTGAACCCACCCAACTATCCACCCTTAGATACACAATTCTTTATATAGTCTCACAAATATACCAAGCAAATTTTCATCTTGACATCTTTAATTCTAAGTTCCTTGTTAGAACTCAAGCTCTAGTTTTCCTGGGTATTCTATTCCACATTTATTTAGAATTCCAATAGTGTATTTCACTTTTGGGTACTTAAAGTGAACATCTGCTGTGTTAAAAGAACTGCAGAAAATCTATATATAAATCAAACGTGGACCTTAACCTTAAGGGCAGAAGAGAAGTCTGCTCAAATAATTACAATACAAAGTAGAATATAATAAGCAGTCATAAGGGAGATACAATAGCACATGAATTTAAATAGGAATTCCTTTCTGAAGAAGAGGAGCTTGGGCAAGTATAGATGAAGAGGAGGCATTATAGGTAGAAGAAAAAATAAAAGCAAATTAGAGAAGGAAAATTCTGGGGTACATATTAAGTAAAATATATAACTTAATAGAGAGGATGGGATTCACAAAGGAAAATAGTGTGAAAAGTGGGTTGGAAGGATCCATTAGTGTTTCTCAAAAAGTGCTCTAAGGCCACTGAAGGTACCAAGCATGTATCAGGTAGGTCAACGATCTACAGGTAGCTTGGTGTTTTTGGAAGAAAAATCGATGACACCATTCTTTTTATATACCATATTGCTGTGGTCCCCAAACCCTGGGTGGCAGCCCAGTACTGGTCTGTGGCCCGTTAGGAACCCGGGCCCACCGCGCATCACCACCTGAGCTCTCCTCCACCCCTGCCCCCTTCCATAGGAAAATTGTCTTCTATGAAACTTAGCAACTGGGAGTACAGGAAGAGGTGAGCAGAGAGAGGGTGAGCAAGAAGCTTCATCTGTATTTACAGCCACTCCCCACCCCATTGCTAGCATCATGGCCTGAGCTCCCCCACTCCGCCCCCATCTGTGGAAAAACTGTCTTCCATGAAACTGGTCCCTGGTGTCTCAAAAAGGGTGGGGACAATCTTATGTGCCTCCTCAGATTGTCTTGGCCTTACGACGTCTGCTAGACTCTCAGCCACCGCCCTTAGTGACAAGTCTGTGATTCCACCTGGAGTCTCTAGCTCCTTTTACCATTCAGATGAAGGCAAAACAGCATGGAGTGGGACCTAGCCTTCCCCAGAAGATGACAGGGTCCAGGTGAATGAAGAGCCAAAAATGGGTTTCAGGAGACCCTGTAAACCAAGGGCAAACGTAGTTTCTTCAATTTTATTCTTGTTATTTTGAAAATGTTTTAGGGGAGGAGATGCCTTTTAAAAATAACTTAAAGCACTGTTTTTCTCCAATACCTATAGGTATACATCTGTATGTGGTCTAGTACTGTATAATGGTCATCACTACCACTGTCCTGACATCCAGATAACCTGTTCATTATGACTAAATGAAGAGGATACCTTTATACAGTTGGAAAACATACATATGAAAAAAGGGGACAAATTTTATGAATCCTCTGTTTTTATGTTCTCTAAGTTCAATGAGCACACACGATTGGAGACACCTTAGTGAATTTATATGACCTTGACATAGGCAAGCTGGTCTATAGCTTAAGGCAGAGGAAGAAAAGTTAAAGTAGTGCCTCTATCAAATCATGTCATCTCCAAAATCATTGCAACTTATTCCAAAATTCTGACTGGCAGCACTCCTTTACCTTGCAAGTGGATACCAATCTGGATATACTCAGCGCAGTGATATACTGGCTTGTAACCATTATGTAAGCAGACTGACCCCATCAAGGAAAAAGTTTTTATTTGTGAGGCCTCTTTAGAAAAAATGAAGTTTTTCTCCACTTTCTACTATAGAAAAATATTGGTATTTTGTGCACAGATGGAACTACCTACAAAGTTTGTTCTGGGTCTGCTTTTTTGAAGAAGAAAGAAGCTCCTCACTCTGTTAGGACTCACTGCTTTTTATACTGGCATGTGCTGGTACCAAAGCCTCTGCCCATAACCCTGAGGAAGTTCTGCCTATTGCCATAAAAGTCATCAAATTAACCATTACACATGTCTTCAATCACTGCCTTGAGAAAAGGTTTTCATTTATTCCTAAGAAATGAGGGCCAAACATAGAGTCCTTCTATAACGCATAGAAGTTTACTGGCTTCTTAGACGGCAAGTATCAAATGCTTTATTTCCATTTTCTCCAGGAAATCACCAATAATTTTTACACACACACACACACACACAAACACACACAAACACACACTAGTGAGATTTTTTTTATAACAATTAATAGAAATTTCTGTGTGTATTATGTGCTACACTTTCTTCTAGGAAGTAAAGTGAGTATATGTTTCCCTTAAGAGGTTTTAGTTTATAATATACATTATTGACAGTATTTAGCTGTATTGAAACCTGGAAGCCTGGTTCTTTCTGTATAACTTCTCGGTTTTCTCTCTTACTAAAATCTCTCCACATTCCCTTCTGCTTCCTTCTGACCCGAAAAGAACTAACCTTTGATGGATTGAATGGAATACCCAGGTATGAAGAGCCTCGGAAACCACAACGATTTAGATTTGATCCTAGAAAATAAAAACATGCTTAATTAAAATACATCTTATTTTTGTACAGACTCTAGAGCCATTTAATTATACAATCTTTCAGAAACAGAGTTTTTAGTACCAAAGCTTTGTCACTGTCTCCGTTTTCATGCTAGCTAATGTTGAATGTTCACCATGTGCCAGGTCTGTTTTAGGTGCTTAAAAGGAATCACATTTAATTTCCACACCAGTCATAGACAAAATGATGATTTCTTACCATATACCTTTTATTTATACCCCACCCCTCTGCCTACAGAATGTCTCTATACTTCTATAAGACCATTTTTCGTGTGATCAACATATCCAATCCTGTTTTCTATAGAAGAGAAAACAGAAGCCCAGAGGTTAAGTGACATGTTCAAGGTAACAGTTAATAAAACAATAGGGTCTAAAATTCCAACTTCTCACCTAGTGTCCTTTTACTTTAGCTCATTGCTTCTTTACATGCGAGCAAGCTAAAAGTATAAAACCATAGAGAAAATAAGTATTTCGTATTTCAGTATTAGAAAGACCTTCGCTCATCCAATATCCCACTTGGCTTTGAAGTAAACAGAACACTGTAAGTTAGCACTTAGTCTCTACTCAATCAAAATATGTTTATTCACATATTTTTT